GTTTGGTTTCTTCTCTATTTAACTTTTGCTCCTGCTATACCATATGGACTTCAATTAACACTCAAAATCCAACCTCTTCTTTGGGACATTTAGAAAAAAATCTCTCAACACAGGTATGGGACTAAATATAATTGGCTGGAACGTCTAGTACCCTACATACACCAGCTTTCCAGCCAAATATAACCAGGACATTTAAAAATATCACCTTAGACCTTCCCAGATCTTAGCTTTTAAAAAAACATATTTTATTGATTTCAGAGAGGAAGGAAAGGGAGAGAAACATCAATGATGAAAGAGTCATTGATCGGCTGCCTCCTGCATGCCCCCCACTGGGGATCGAGTCCACAACCTGTGCAAGTGCCCTTGACTGGAATCAAACCCCAGACCCTTCAGTCTGCAGGCTGATGCTCTACCCACTGAGCAAAACCAGCTAGGGCCAGATCTTGGCATTTTTTAAAAATTCTGGCAGCACTTGAATGGCATTTTATCACAGCTGCCTTGGACCATAATAAGGTGTTTTCTGTCTTTTGCTTAAAACTTCCTTTCTTGAACTTTAAAACCCTTTCTTGCTAAAACAATGGTGAGTGCACAAGCATATATAAAATGGTGAAAGCCTGCCCATCCGGTGTGGCTCAGTGGTAGAGCATTGACCTATGAGCCAGGAGGTCATGATTCGATTTTCGGTCAGGGCACATGCCTGGGTTTTGGGCTCAATCCCCAGTGTGGCTCATTCAGGAGGCGGCCGATCAATGATTCTCTCTCACCACTGATGTTTCTATTATCTCTCCCTTACCCTTTCTCTCGGAAATCATTAACAATATATTTCAAAAAATAAGGTAAAAGCTAAATGATCGTATAGCATATTATCATCACTACCTAGGAGAAGACCCTAGAAATCATAAAGTATTTCCTAAAATCCATCATTAAAAAAATGCCACAGCCAATACTGGAACCTACAATACTTGTATTCTTCAGGTCACCACCCCTTAAGAAATTAAATTGGAAATAGTCAACCTGGAGGGACAAAGTAATTAGCTGCAAGGTCAATCTGAAAGGAGAAATTGAACAAGTAGGTGGGAAATACGTGCATAAGATTGAAACATTTTGAACCACAGAAACAGACTAAAAACATTAGACCAGCAGTAGTCTAAGCAATTCTTATCAAGGATAAAGATTTCAAACACTTTAAACCACCTTTGGGTATACCAGTGTTTGCATATGCAAACATGAGCACCTCAGGACACTTACAAATTTTCCTAACTCTGTGGTTCTTAACTGAGAAATGATACTTTGAAACTGGGGTGACACGTGGAGGAGTGACAAAGAAGGAAAACCAGGAATAGCCTGTAGTATCCACAACAAAGAACTGTCCCACTGAAAAACGTCAGTTCTCCAAGCTGAGTAACCAAACCAGTAAAACTCTAGTTCATAACAGCTAATCCCCAAATTATGTCCCTAAACTCAGATTAACATCAGAGACAAAAATCATGGCATATTAGCCTGAAAAAGACCAATTCCCTCACTTGTGAAACTGGGAATTTGACTTACCCATTGTTGTGTAACTATTATAAGAGGGAGTCTTTTGCCTCCAAGTTCAGTCAATACCTCACTTCCTAGCTAATGTACTGAAAGGCATCCTCATCTATCTTCACTCTTCTACCATCAAAACCTCCCTGACAAAGCTGACTGATTCCAAAGTCCAAAGACATGGTCATTTCTGACACCTCTGCAACCTCCCTTAGAGCCCAAGCAGACTGTGTAGGGTACCAGCACCATTCAACTCTGTAAATTGCAAAGTATATAAATCAGTACCCCCCACACCAAGATTAATTCCTCTGAATGTTTCTTCCAAGCGATATTAACAGACATACCTGGGAGATGTAATATGCACCGACAAAATTTGGGGCAGGTAGAACGTGTTCTTTGATACTCAGATTTGGTAGATTTAAGGTGAATTATTAATTGTAATTGTTTCGAATCTACTGCCTCTCACACATTCAAATATAAATGCCAACAATGTCCTGAGACTGGAATGAAAATCGAGTCTCTTAAAAATCCAGTACAGGAAGGGAACTCAGTGTGGGACCTGGGATTTACAGCTCTTAACCTAAAGGTCTTGCAACATCTAGCTGCCTCCTCCTCTAATCCTATCTTCAGGAAAGTGTAGTGAAACAAGATACAAAAATAACGGAAGTGAATGCAGTTTTTAAACCAAGCTCTGGCCAATTTTATTAAAGAAAAATTTCCCATGATTTACTTTTCACCAGTCTGTTCTGGCATGCTTCTGATGATATCGGAATCACCTGGAAAATAAAACAATAATAATTTTACAATTCATTTAATGGCAACTGGTCATCATGAAATTAACAGTGGTTATCTTCAAGTTATTGCACTAGCTGTCCTACCATATCGAGGTTGTTCCTATATATCAGACTTGGTTTATCACCAGCATTTAGAAAACCAGACCAAGGGAAAGAACTAGGTCTGGGGACACATGCATGGTCTTAATATAGCGAATGTTTAGCCTGCCCTGATTATCACAAAATCAGAACAGCGAGAATATTCGCAGTATTTTATGAATTAAAATTTCTTAAGTTCAAAACACGTGCAGTTGGCCCTTGAAATCAGGGATTAGGGGTGCCGACCTCTATGTGTAACTTAAGTCAGCTTTCTACACATGTATTCCCAACCACAGATTGAAACTACTGTCTTTGTGCTATAGTTGGTGAATCCACGGATGGGAAACCCATAGAAAGAAATCTGTGTATGTGACTCATGAAGTTCAAACTTGTGTTTTTCAAGAGTCAATTTCTTTCAACCAATGTTTCCTCTCTGTTTAAGAAGCCAGTAGAGATTACTTTCCTCTATTCACCTGATACTTTTCCCCTTTTATAATGTCATCTTTTACCAAGGTCCTCAATCATGTTGAGAGATCAAATAAAATTCACAATCTCAAAGTAAAGAAAAAAAGAATTCACTTATTGCAAAGCCAATGTACCGACACTCGTCAATTCTCTATGAAATAAGGATATCCTTTAATATATCCAAATTATCACCATCTGAACTCAGGAACCAGTATAGCAAATACTTATATTACATTATAAAGAAAAGAATATACAATTTAAGAGGCATACCTGGGTCAATGATAGCCAGTGTGCATACCCTGTAGTATTTTCCACACGCTGTGCCCAATTCAATATTATTGCCACTGTAGTGATGGACACCAGTCTTGGCCAACATGGCATAGTACTCTATTTCAGATTTCCTTTGGGAACCAAAAAAGGGCAAATAAATGCCATACCAAATGACTGACAGACTAAGCATTTACCACCTCTCTCATTAGTTTTAATGCTGGTGAGGCCTTCCAACAGTAAATAAGCCAGTTATTAATACTTTTATCCAGTTATTACTCTTAAGAACCTATTTCATTGGCCAATACAAACCATCCTTTACTTGGATCCCTTACAAAAGATATGAGACACCCAGCAAAAATCTATCAAA